GTGCCCAGTGGAGGTCTTGTTTAAAGGATCCCATCCGCAGGCTGCATGTTGAGCCCCATATAAACCCAAACCACACTATGGGCTTCAAACAAATGGGCTGTGGGCTGCATGCCGCCCAGGGGCCGCATGCTGAGTAGCCCTGACCTACAGTGATAGATAAACTCAATACAATATGCCCCCCCAAAGATAATCCATGGGGTAGCAATGTCTGTCATACTTTTATTATTCTTTTTTAATATAATTGATTTATTTATTTGGGTTTACAAAGCAGAGGCAAACTATATATGTGAAGTGTTTCTGTAAAATTAACAGTATAAACTGTTAATTTGACCTTTTACTATCTATAAATTAAATGGTTCTTTTAGCTTGACAAATAGGGATATTCAAGTACACTTAGTCACATATGTATATAGGTGTCAATAGAGATGACTTCAAAGCAGTTTGTGCTAGGTGGTAGACTGATTTATTGCTGCCCAGGTGAAGGGCCAGATTATCCATTAGGTACAATAGGCACAATGCCTACGGCCTATGAAAAATTTAGGGCCTATGAAAAATTCATAATTCACTCAAAAATAAGAAAAGAAAACTGCTCAATCACACTTAATAATTTTCTGTTTTTTAATAGAATACATGTGCAAATGTTGAAGGTCAATTAAATGAAAGTATGTTAAATCTTTAGTCAACCAACAACATACAAGTATAATATACAATTAAATATTTACTTTGCAACTCTTTTTGTTAGCAAAATCACAGATTACATCAAATATAATTTTTCTCAAAAGCTTACTTCAGTTGAAAGTAGTACAAGGGAAGATAGTCGTTTCTGTCCCATGGTAGACCAAAGACTCTTCTTTGTGTGTTTTAAGTTTAAAAAAGAGTGCTCCCTTTCACATTTTGTTCCCAAGATGGTGAGAGACTTTCTGAAAGCAATGTTGACATTTGGAAAACTTGTCACCAACATGTCTGCTGTTTGTTCACTGATCATTGCTGCCGCAGATTTCTTCTCTGTGTTCATATGTGAGAGCAATAGAAATTCATCTATAAATGCATGTTCAAAATCTGATCAATAGATATCTACTAATGTGCTTGCTCTAGAGGTGACTTCAGCACTGGACATTGATCTATCCATAAAAAAACTGAACTTTTCATTCAATGTGGCATATGCTGCTCGTCTGGCCATCTCAACAATAAGCTTATCCATAATAGGATAGAAGCACTGTGTGAAATTCGTCCCTGGCACTCAAATCTGAGACAATATTATCCATACAAACTTCATAAAAAATTGCTCTCTCTGGGTATGTCTACACTACCCCGCTAGTTCGAACTAGCGGGGTAATATAGGCATACCGCAATTGCAAATGAAGCCCGGGATTTGAATTTCCCGGGCTTCATTTGCATAAGCGGGGCGCCGCCATTTTTAAATCCCCGCTCATTCGAACCCCGTGCCGCGCAGCTACACGCGGCACAAACTAGGTAGTTCGAACTAGGCTTCCTAGTTCGAACTACCGTTACTCCTCGTGGATCCAACCAAATTCATACTGATCCAACCAAATTCATACTATGGCAGCACATGGAACTCATTCAGCCAAACTGTTAACTTCATGAAACCTAGCTTGAACCCCTGAATAAATGCCACTTATTTCTGGCATTATCATATGACTTTGACTTGCAGCTTTCAATATCAATGCTATGAAATTTGAGTCTCTCCTGCAAAAGATAAGTATTTTCCATCATGTTGCTCAATGGGAAAGAACTGAAGAGATCATTCAACCACATTTCCATCACTGAGTACATAATGGGTATGTCTAGACTACATGCCTCTGTCTCCAGAGGTATGTAAATTAGACTACCCGACATAGTCAATGAAGCCAGGATTTAAATATCCCCGGCTTCATTAAAATAAAAATGGCCGCCACGCTGTGCCGGCTCAGCTGATCGTTGGCACAGCACAGCAGTCAAGATGTGGATCGGTCGACAGGGAACACCTTTGTCAACCGCTCCTGTAAGCCTCATTTCATGAGGCATAAGGGAGCTGTTGACAAAGGCGTTCCCTGTCGACCGATCTCCGTCTTGACTGCTGCGCTGTGCCGAAGATCAGCTGAGCTGGCACAACGCGGTGGCCATTTTTATTTTAATGAAGCCGGGGATATTTAAATCCTGGCTTCATTGACTATGTCCGTAGTCTAATTTACATGCCTCTGGTGACAGAGGCATGTAGTCTAGACATACCCAATGAAACACCACTGTAAGCTGATCGGTATGACTAATATCATGGGATGAATCAATATTGATTCCCTAATACTTTGCCTTCTTGGTTTCAGATATTATCTGCACCATAAATTTGGATCCCAATATATCAATAGATTCATCGCATATAGTTGACAAAAGATAAGATACATTCCCTGTTCCTATATTGCCATTTCAGTGCACATGTTCTGAAATAAATTGATCAAATGCAGCTAGAAGTTCAATGCAACTAAATGATTTTCCATTGTTACGGCAGCCGTGCACTTCAGTGTCCCCACAAAAGGCTTATCCTCATTCAGTAAGGAATCTTATTACAGCAACTGTTCTCTTTAGGACTTCAGTCCAGTATTCACATGATCTTTTCTTCATCTTCTCCAGTTCTGTTTCAATTCTGGCAGATTTCTGAAGCTGTAGCATCAGAGACAGTGCACCAAGATGATCCTCCCACTGCTTATAAGAAGTAATTCTAGTGATTACATTTTTCATCAAAACCCGTTATAAATTAATTAGAGTAGTCACTGACTACAGAGTAGTTTGCATATGTAGCGACACACTTTACCAGATGAGGGAGAATAAATAAGCCATTCTCTTTGAACAGTTTCCCCATTTGTCAATCACCTGAAAAAATATTCTTTGCATGCATATCTTTTCTTTTTACCAAATTGTCTACCTTGCAATGAGAAATTGGAATCTAAATTCTGGGAAAGTTCATTTTCTGCAAAATATTAAATGAAATATGGAATGATTTCCTACTCATCTGTATCAGAATTATATTTTAATGTGATCATCTGATGTTTTCTTTGGTGTCTCTGTTTCTGTTTTCAACACATCTCCTGTCAGTATTGTCATGGCCATTTCTGAAGTAGCCTGACTGACCCTTGCTTGTTCCCCACTTGAGCTTGAAGGTTCAACATCACTTCCAATGGAACCTGCTTCAATATATTCTGCAGCTTTGTTTTCCAAGTGTGATGTTGATGGATCAATGAGAGAGCTTCCCTGTCACTCCTCATATCTTTTCTTATGAAATTCATTAGAGAATCTCTCTTCTTTTTTAAAGCTTGTTCCTTTTTTCCTTTTTCTTTTGTTTTACATATCCAGAATCATGCTTCCTCTTGCATTACTCCATGGATTTTACAGTTGTAGTGGTGGCAACATCACCTTACTATTTTCCTTATCAGCTGATTAACTGTGAGGTGAATCCTAAATATAATTGTAGCATACAATAAAATGACTTATTTTAGAATGAAGTACCATGAATTTCTCACACAGTGAGAAACTTTCAGGAGCAAAAATTAAAATGGATGAGATTAGATGTATAGGTGATAGCGCATTTCTCCCTTATATTTCTATATAGTCTAATTTAAGGACCTATAATTATAAGAGCAGCTCGGGCCTACGAAGAGCTTAATTCAGCCCTACTCACATGCACCTCTCCCTTTCTTCTAGTAAGTTTGTCTTTGCTGCTCTCTGCATTCTGAGAACTACAGGTTGGACCTCTCTTGTCTGGCACCCTGGGGACCAGACTGGTCCTAGATGAGGGAATTTGCCAGACAACGGGAGGTCCCCTGACTCCAGCCCCTCAGCCTGCTGCCCCTGCCTGCTGCAGGCTCCTTCACCCTGGCTGGGCTGACCGTGGGCCAGTCCCAGCCCTGGATCCACTGCCGGCCAGCTGGGCAACTCCAGTCCTACTGCTGAATGGCACATTGCCCAATTGGGCTGCCACAGCTAGGCGGCACATGGCCACGCTGATTCTGCCAGGCTGACATAGCTGGCTTCCCCTCTTGGGATGCGGCCGCAGCAGCCCCACCCCCACTACTGGGTGGGAGGGAGCCCCAATCATGCTACTGCCACCACCACTGCTGTCCAGGCTGTTACATCCCTACCACCTCCCAGTCTCACATTGCCCAGCCAGGCTTCCCCTCTTGGGCTGCTGTGGTCCTGGCCCCGCTGCCAGGTAGCAGACTGTCCCCATTGCGCGCTGCCCAGGCTGCTGCAGCCCCATTGCAGGCAGACTCACAGAGATGCCCCGGGCTCCCAACTGCTGGCCCTTCTGCCCCGGGGTTCTCTCATCCAGGAATATCTGTGGTCATGCCGGACCACAGATGTTGCCAGATGAGAGAAACCTGGATTTGAGAGGTGCAACCTATAGAAACAACAGAGTGTGATTGAGCTCCCAGGCTGCTGCTGGGGCCCCTTTGCCATGGGGTTCCCGGCTGCGCTGCCAGCCCCGCAGCCATAGGCTCCTGGCCATATCACCAGACCTCCCTGACCTGGGCTCCCTGGTCCAGCAAAGTCCGTGGCCCTATTGGACCACGGATGTTGCTGGACCAAGAGTCCTGATTTAGGGAGGTACAACCTGCAGTAAATTATTGACACATTTTATTAATCTAAACATTTTAGTCAAAGACAGTATGCTCCAGCTTCTCATGGTATGACTGCCATGTTAAGTTTTTGGAAAGGAGTTCTGTATTACCTCTGCATGTCTGTGATCTGGAAATGTCTCATTTATATCTGCCTGCATTTCAGAATTAGCTGCTTTCTAATGATCACTGTTTAACTTTTGGAGGACAGTAATTTTAGGTGGGCGACTGATCTCCAGGTACATGCAGAAAAATTAGTTTTTCACACTTTTATTTTCATGCTAAAGAATGGAAAATTAGCTATCTTGCTGCTAACTGGTTTTGGCTTGTATATGATTGTCTAATGACTACTACACCTAAAATAGTAACCAGATTCTGTTTCTCCTTTTACAGTAAAAGAAACATGAGCTGCTTGGACGAAGGAACTGCCAAAGGATTTGGGGAGCTTGTTGAAAAGGTTATATAATACATTAATACTGGTTGAATACATGACTGGAAGAAACTGTAAATGCTAGTTTGGCTACACTGCTGTCCTATAAGAATATGTATACTATGGTTACTATACACTAAAGTGGACTCAGGCATCTAAATATGTAACTCTTAACATCTGCCACCCCAAATGACTTGTTAGGTTTTCTACAATTAATTCAAAACATCTGGCTTTTTCTTATTCCTTATGAGTGTGAGGGTTATTAAATTTAGTGAGTCAAAATATAAAGTAATGTAGTTTTGCAAAACTGTAGTTAGAAAGTGATTCTCTTCTCCCCATGTCCTAATGCACCTTTGAAAAAAGACAAAATACAGTAATTACTCATTTAACACGTGCCCACTTAACACGTTTTCACAATAGCACAATTTTTTTTAGGGAACTTTTTTGAATAACCATCCCCAAAATAATACGAAGATAATCAAGTGGTGAACTACTTCGTGCGGTGGTATAAGTTGATTAAAACAGTGGTAATACGCATGAGCAGATAAACTCACGTGGTCACAGCGCTCCTCCGCTCACTCATGTGTTTATCTTCATGTTTTAACAAACCCCGGTGACTTGTGTTGCTAGAGATCGTGTTGCTAGATATCTAATGTTGATGTTGACGACCAAGCACCAACAAAAAATTGACTTTGCCGCTACCACCACCTGAAACGCAACCCTCACATTTTCCATTATTTTTAATGGGAATATTGACCCCGCATATCACGTTTTCGCTTAGCATGAAGATTTTCAGAAATGCATCTATAGTATTAAATGAGGAATTACTGTATAGGTTGAACCTCCCTTGTTCAGCACCCAACGAGGGAATTTGCCAGAGCAGGTCCCCTGCTACCAGCCCACCTTCTTTCCCAGCTGACGGCCATAGACACCCCTCCCCCTACCAGGCTGCTGCAACGCCAGCTGCCTGGTCTGCTACGACTCCAGCCCTGATACTGGGGCTTCCTTGTCTGCCACTCCTCCAGCCTTGGCTCCGCTACTGGGGTTGCCACGGCCATGGCCCTGTCCACGGCCCTGCTACTGGGGCTGCTGTGTCTCCTGGCTGTGCTACCGAGGCTCCAGCCCCAGTCCCAGCTCCAGTGACTCTGAGCCTGCAGTCCTCTTGCCATTGGGGCTCTCAGCTAGGACTCCCTGGTCCAGGAACCATGGATGTTGCTGGACAAGGGAGCCCTGGTTTTTGGAGGTCCAACCTGTAGCTAAATATTGGTTTCACTGTTGATGTACAATATTCAGTTCAAGTCTATTTAGATTTTAATACCACTCAGCTTTGTCTGATTCTGCTCTCGCTCTGGTATAAATCAGGATTAACTCAGCTGGTATAAATGTGAGAAAAATCAGAATAGGCTGTGAATATGGCATTGTCAACATTTTCTTTTCCTGTGTGCTCCCTTCTTCGTGTTTTTTCTCTACAGCACAGCATTTTAAAATTGTCTTCTGTTGTATAAGCTCCCTTCTTCACCCTGTGACTGACTTGACTTTTTTATTATTACTATCACATTATGAACCCCAGCCATGAACCAGGGCTGCAATGTGGTAGGCTCTGTTCAAGCACAGAACAAAGAGCTTACAATTTAAATAGATGAAACAGAGACAGGTTGGGGGATGGGAAGTAAAACACAAGTAGAGTGAACAATGTGATGGCCGCAAACATCATGTTTAGTTTCCTTCCTTCCTTCCTTCCTTCCTTCCTTCCTTCCTTCCTTCCTTCCTTCCTTTCTCTCTCTCTCTCTCTCTCTCTCTCTCTCTTTTTCTTTCTCTCTTTCTCTCTCCTTCCTCGGCTTCTCTGCCACATGCAGCACTATTTCTGTGATGCATGGAATACATTTGACGCCTTGATTGTTGTGGGTAGCATTGTTGATATAGCAATCACCGAGGTGAACGTAAGTAGCTGGCGTCTGTCCATGATCGTGCCTGCTCTAACATTCATTTGTCTTTCCCGGTTTTCTTTTTGTTCCCCCCACCCCCTCTTTTTTTATTTTTAAGGATTGTTTTTTATTCTTTTGAAAAAAATATTGTTTTTGTTTGTTTTTACTTTTGCAACAACCTAGAGAACCTTTTGACTGTTGCATCATTTTCTTTCCCTCATAATCAGCCTGGCATGAGTAAAACTGTATAGCAGGAAAATCAGTGGGAAATGTGGAGTGTAAGTGAGAGTGAGATTTGTGCCATGGGAAGTCGCTGGAGTAGTGATAGCCCAGGACTCCCTATGGCATTGTGATACTTTCCACTCCACAGAGATCTAAAGGTAACTCTTTCGAGGTGGAACTGTGGGAACCAAATCTAGAATCTTTTGTGTCGATGCCCTTTTGGCTTCCTCAAAAAAGACTGGCATCTCAATAGCCACAGAGAAACCTGTCCATTTTTTTCCTGGATAAAAAAATTCTCCTATTTTACAGGGTAGTTTTCCGCCAATGTTTTCATTTCCCCGCCCCTCCAAAAATATCCATAGAAAATATATGTGGCCATGTCTCAATCCATTTTTCAGTGCACACCTCACAAAATGTACCACCACAACTAGCATTAAATGGCACCACTCCTGGTCATGTCAGCAGAAAGGCCAAGGATTAAATGGGCCCTGGAGACTGAAATGAGTAGCACAGAGTTTATAAAGAATATATTTTTATCAGGCAAACTTTATTGCTTTTTTGATGGGATAGGGTAGAATTACACAATTAGTGGATGAAGGAAATGTAGGTGGTATAGGACATTATATTTAGATTTGAGATAAGAATTTGATGCATTAGGCCAGCTCCTACTGAAGAATTTGGTGGGAGAAGAGTCATATTTGGGAACTTAAATCAAGATGACATGAACAGAAGCAAGGTTATGGGGACTGAAATCTGGCTAAAAGATCATACAAATATCACAGCATATCAAGTTGGGAGGAGGTCTCTGAGCCCTGGTCTACACTAGGGAGTTATTTTGAAATAACCCCCCTAATTTAGAAATGGCAAGCAGAGCGTCCACACTACTGACCCCATTATTTTGAAATAACGGGCTTGTTATTTTGAAATAATAACTCCTGCTTGTCATGAGGAATAACACTTATTTCTAAATTGTCATTTTGGGAGTTATTATAAACTAACCTATTTTGAAATAATTACCTGGTGTAGACATGCCCTGAGAGTACTATAGGTTTACCCTTATTTAAGGTCTTCATCAATGATCTGGAAAAGGAAATAAGTAATACATTAATGAAATGTGCAGATATGCTAAATGAGTATGAGTTTAATAAACAGGACAGAAAAATAATACAGAGGGACCTAAAGAGTTTAGAAACATGGACAAAAAATAAGGAAATTCAATTTTGAGAAACCTGAGAAGCAGAAATCCTGCAAAAGGGTGTTAAGGAATAGCAAATTGGACATGAATGTGTAATGTGCTATTGCAGCAGAAAAGGCCAATACAGTTTGGAGTTGTATATGTACAGTAGAGGTATCATATCATGCAGCAGAGACATTAATAGTGCCTGGATGTGACTTTACCTGGGATGCTGCATTAGGTTTTGGGCACCCTGCCACCAGAAAGATGCCAACATATGGGAGGGAATTCATAGCAGAGCAGCTAAAATCATTAAGGAAGTGGAAAGATTCATTTGTTTGAAGAAAACTTAAGAGCTCTATATGTTTTGCTTGTCATGTTTTTTCACAGGACCCCTGCTTCATGTAGTACAAGATTGGATCTGCTCTGAGGGTGAAGAAGGGTTGTGAGTCGTAAAGAAGGCTGTTGCCCATAGGACCCCTCACCCATCTGTTACAGAAGTTGGAAGGTTTGTAGCAAACAGACAACAGAAGAAGGATGGTCCAGGGAGATTATGGGTGCTGGACCATGGAGATTATGGCAACTGAATGGCACCATAGAGACTTGGATTCCATCTCTACATTTTCATAGAAATTCTATGTAATGACAAGCAAATCAGTTTCACAGGTGGACACTAATTATGTGTTCTTCATTTTGTGGTTGCCCAAATCAAGATTGTGGGGCTGGATTTGTAGTAGCACTGAGCACTCACAACTGCAACTGAAGTCAATGGGAGCCGTGCTTGAATATATAAAGTGCTATATAATGCTAAGTAAACTGAAAACTCAAATTTTAGGCATCTCGAATTGGGCACCCAAAATCAGTGGACATTTTTTGTTTTAATTTTTCTAGGCCTCAGTTCTACATTTCCTAACTTTTCACATCAGGGCTTTGTGAAGATTAATTAATTAATGTTTGTGAAGCAATCAGCTATCATAATGGTGAGCACCTAGAAAATTAATCAGGGTTGTAATAGTGCAAACAAGGCTTTAGGCTACACATTGTAGAATGAGGATAAACTCAGATATTCACTACCATTCATTAACTGAGTACAGTCCATTCTCTATTCTTTTACTGTATTTTTTTCTGTTTGTTGTTAGGATTATTATTATTATTTTATTTTATTATGGATCTCACATTGTTTTACATAACATATTTGTCTGCAGTTGAAATTCAGCCACTTTTCATAGTAGAAATAGGACAGTTATTGCTCACACACACTGCTGAACAATTTATTTTTAGGAGAAAGAGTGAAGAATAAGATGTCCATTTTAAACTGGAGGGGGAATGTGAGTAAGCACAATATAATTATGTGAGCTTGAATTTATCCAGCACCCTGGGAACTAATCCTAGTATTTGTAATAAAGGGAATTTGTTCTTTCTTAGCATGTTGAAGAGTGATTCACAGGAAATTAGAAATATTCTTAGGGGATCATTACACTTTCAGAATCATTCTCTAATCTGCAATCCTTAGCTAGTAAGAATAAAATTGATGCTATGAAAGGACAAGTAATAATCATAGTTTTCTTCTTGTAGAGAGTCAGAGTTGAGACTGCAGGAGAATTTGTCCTACCATGCTTGCTTTGTTTATAACCAACTGACGAAGAGATAATTCTTGATATACTATCCTTAATGCATAGAGTTGAATTTTATGAGGACAAGATATCCATGTGTAGATTTTCTTCTCTAACAGTCGGCCATTTCAGTATTTTTCTTGTGAGTCACATGATCCTCTGCTCTGTGGCTAAAATCAGTTTGTACTCAATTGAAGCCAATACAAATGTTTGTTTTCCCCATAGCACAAATTTAATAGGGACGCTAGTGATGGCTGAATCAGTGGTGAGCTTTTGTACATGTTTAAGAATTGTTTCACTTTACTAACAGTCAACAGCTTCCTTCTTGAAAACTTGAAGTACAGCTAACATTTTTTTTCATGACAATCAAAATACTGCCAGAAGTAGTAGTTGAAATGACGTAAGGAACTGCTAATGCAGGCAGTAGTGAAAGATGTAAGAAACAATGCACAAAAGTTAGGTCTTGTTTCAACAAACCATCACTAAACAGCAAAGTACACAATAATTTGTTGAACCAGGTCCTTAAATTAAAAAATCAGACACAATTGTTTCCACCGTTACCTTGATGCCCTTTGTCAACTTATTCAAATAGCATATTGCATTTTTTACAGTCACAGGAGATGTTGAAGGGGTAAAGAATTAAGCACCTTTTTTTTTTTTTGATAAAACAGCAAATTATAAGGGTTTATAGGGAGGAAGAAAATAATACACTCAATGGAATTCCCATTTTAAAAAAATTACTAAAAAAATTAAACGGACAAATTTTAACAGTTCCTTTCTTAAGAAATCCAAAATAAAAATTAACTTCATAAAAATATCACTATTTTTAAAAATACAGTGATTTAAAGAAAGCATGTATATTTTGTTTTTATTTTAAAAAATGTAATAGAGTTAAGGATTAAGGATGTAAAAATTAGTTTAATTAACTAATCGAATAGTCGATGGGATTTCCATAGACTATTTGATTAGTCTATAAGGGCGCCTCCACCTTTTAACTGTAGCAAAAGCCCTACAGGGACTGGTGGGGGACTGGCCCCATGCTCTCTGCAGTGCCTGAGCCTTTGAAATGTACAAGAGCTCCTGATGGCCCAACGCTCCCTGTGGGGCTTCTGCTTTTGACAAGTACAAGAGCCCGACTGGGACTCTTGTACATTTCAAAAGCAGAATCTCAGCAGAAGCAGCATGAGTAATATGAATGTTTCAGTCCCTGCTTGCACTGTTCCCAGTGTGCTTCTACCTCCTCTGCCCACTGCGGAGACAGTGCTGGAGGAACCAACTTTTAAGCTGGCCCCAGCTCCTGCTCCCCCACACTTGCTGCTTGTCTCTGATAGAGGCAGAAGGGGGGAAGGGGAAGCAACTAGTCGCATCACTAGTCAACTAGTCGCTTACATCCCTATTAAGGAGCCAAGCAATACCAGGTAAATCTGCTACAAGTGGAACATCTCTACTCCAATACTCTCTGGTATGGCAACTTCCATGGTCTGGCATAATTGTAGTTAGTTGGATGTCCATTTATCATGAGTGTGGCCAAGTTTCCCGCAGTCCCATAAAGTTTGTTTACAGCCACCAGTCCTGGCTCTCAGTGTTCTAAGCTGTTATTTAGCTCTAATTTACCTCTAATTTAAATGTCTTCTAAGAGCCCAATAAGCAGTGGAAGTGTTGGTAATGCTGCTAGATGATATTGACCTCCCATAGTCCGGAAAATTCTCTGCTTCGGCACTGGTCAGGTCCCAAGGGTGCTGGACTAGAGAGGTTCAACCTGTAGCTATTAATAAATATCATAGCCAGTAGAAAAGCCTTCTAAAAACAATAATTTAATGAAGCATCTAAAGCAACATAGTTACAAAATCAAGACACAGTTTCCCCAGTTGTTCTGTTAGCAGAACCCTTTTCTAATCATGTTGGTAATAACAGTGATAGAAATGTAGCCGTGTTAGTCTGGGGTAGTTGAAGCAAAATGCAGGACAATGTAGCACTTTAAAGACTAACAAGATGGTTTATTAGATGATGAGCTTTCGTGGGCCAGACCCACTTCCTCAGATCAAAAAAAAAAAAACAAAAAAAAAAAAACTTGCATAACAAGCATTCCAAAGGGTAGGAGCTTACTGTTTGTTGTTCACTTTGAATCAAGGAAATTCTGCACATTGGTTTGACTTTTCTGTTGATAACATGAGTGTCTGTATCTCCATCTAGATCAGAGAAAACTTCACAAATAGTAAATGATTTCATCAATATTTTGATACCGTCATGCCACAGCTTACTGTATGCCAGCCTTACATCTCATAAATGTGTCTTTAAAAAGAGTCAGCCATGGAATTTAGTAAAGGATTGGATACCATATGTACCCTATAGTAAGCATTCATATTATTCTGTGATTGAAATTATGGCAACTTTTCCTGCAACCTACTGCCTGGGAGATTGTGTTTAACTATCCTTGTTAGGTAGTGAAAACTTAAGAATGTACAACATGATTAGCTTCTGTTGTATGATGGGAAAAGAATATGAGCTCTCAGAAGCCCAGGAAAAGCAAATATTAACAAAAACCAAGCACATATTTTCATAATATTACATTTACAGGCAACCAATTCTCAACCAGAGTGCCCAGTCGAAAAGGGACCCTGGTGGCTCCAGCTGGCACTGCTGACAAGAACTTTAAAAGTGTATTTGGTAGCATAGCAGGGGTCAGGAGCTGAGGCTGGCTCCCTACTTGCACTGGTGCCACACAGGTCCCAGAATGAGCTGCCAGGTCCCTGCAGCCCTTAGGCGCAAGGAGGCTCCATCCATGTGCTCCCCTCAGCTTAGGGGTGCAAGAATCTGGCCACCACTTCCTGGGTTCCGCAATAAGTACTGCTGGAACTCCACAACCCCAACCCTCTTCCACCCCTTAACTCCTTGTCCCAGAACTGAACCCCTTTCTCCACCCGAAACTCTTCATCCCGAGCCCCACCCAAGACTTGCAGCCATAGCTAGGGCCCTCACTCCCCTCTCTGCACCCAAACTCTCTGCACCAGCCTGGAGCCTTCTCCCACACCTTAAATCCCTCATTTCTGGCCTGAACCAGAGCCTGCACCCCCAGACAGAGACCTCATCCCACACACACCCTAACCACCAACCTAAAGCCCCCTTCTACATAAAGCCCCCTATTCATCCCTGGTCTCCCCCCGCTCAGAGTTTGAACCCCAGCTGGAGCCCTCACCCCCACCTCAACCCGTTGCCCCAGCTTGGTGAGAGTGAGTGAGAGGAGGAAAGTGAGCAATGGAGAGAGGGGGGATGGAGCAAGCAGGAAGTGGGGCCTCAGAGAAGGGGAAGAGCCTAAAAGAAATGGCAGGAGGAGGGACAGAGTGTTCAGTTTTCTGTGATTACAGGGTTGGCAAACCTACTTGGGCTACTTGTTCCTTTGCTGGAGGTAGGAAGCCCTGGTGGAGCCAATGGCAGGCCCAGGACAGATGGAATCTTTGGAGAATTTAGCAACCTAAATATCAAGTCTCCAGCGAGCATGTGCAAACTGAGGCTCTCTACCAAGCATTTATAAACCTCAACTACCCACCCGGAGAAATAAAAAAGCAAATTGAAAGAGCCAAACGAATACCTAGAAACCATCTACTACAAGACAGACCCAAGAAAACCAACAATAGAACACCACTTGTCATCACCTACAGCTCCCAACTTAAACCTGTCCAACACATTATCAATAAATTACAGCCTATACTGGAACAGGACACTAAACTACAAGAAGCTCTGGGAGACAGACCCATAGTCTCCTATAGACAACCACCTAACCTCAAGATGATTCTTACCAACAACCACAGGACATACCACACTAATACCAACCCTGGTACCTTCCCTTGCAACAAACCCCGTTGCCAGCTTTGTCCACATATTCATTCTGCTGATA